GAGCCATAATTTGTTTTTCTATACTGATCTTGTATCTTGAGACCTTGCTGAATTCACTTATGTGTATTAGTTCTAGTAGGTTTCTTTCTTTCCTTCCTCCCTCTCTGCTTGTTTGCCTGCTTGCCTGCTTGTCTGCCTGGCTTCCTATCTTTCTTCTTTTCTGCTTTTTGCATATTCTTTAGGATTTCCTCTATGGGCAATCACGACATCTGCAGATAAAAATAATTTTACTTCTTCCTTTCCAATGTTTATGCCTTTTCTTACTTTTTCTTGACTTATTGCACTGGGTAGGAAGCATGATACAGTGTTGACTAGAAGTAGTGAGAGTGGGCATCTTTCTTTTTTTTTTTGGTGAGAAAGTCTTACTTTGTCTCCCTTGATAGAGTGCTGTGGCATCATAGCTTGCAGCAACCTCAAACTCTTGGGCTTAAGTGATTCTCTTGCCTCAGTCTCCTGAGTAGCTGGGACTAAAGTCCCCTGCTACAATGCCTGGCTTTTTAGAGACGGGGTCTTGCTCTGGCTCAGGCTGGTCTCGAACCTGTGTGGTCAGGCAATCACCCATCTTGGCCTCCCAGAGTGCTAGGATTATAGGCATGAGCCACCATGCCTGGCCCCCACAAATTTATTTATTTATTTATTATTTATTCATTTATTTATTTATTGAGACAGTCTCACTTTGTTGCCCTCAGTAGAGTGCTGTGGAGTGCTGTGGCGTCACTGCTCACAGCAACCTCAAACTCTTGTGCTTAAGCAATTTTCTTGCCTTAGCCTCCCAAGTAGCTGGGACTACAGGCGCCTGCCACAGCACCTGGCTAGACAAATTTAAATGTTATTATCAAATCACTCAGTTAAAATATTTGCCATTTTTCCTTTTGATACCTTATTTGGTCCATTTATTTAAAAATGTATTGTTTAATTACTATTTGGTGCTGTTCCAAGTATCTTTAGTTATTGGTTTTTAATTTAATTATAATGTAGTCAGAGAATATACTCTATATTACTTTGATCCTTTCAAATTTATTGAGACTTGTTTTATAAACAAGTAAATGGTCTATCCTGGTGAATACTTGTACTCGAAAAGAATGTATATGCTGCTGATGGTTGGGCATAGTGTTCTATAAATGGCAATTAGATAAAGTTGGTTGATAGAGCTTTTTTTTTTTTTTTTTTTTTTCTTTTTTGCCGGGGCTGGGTTTGAACCCGCCACCTCCAGTATATGGGGCCAGTGCCCTATTCCTTTGAGTCACAGGTGCCACCCTTGATAGAGCATTTAGGTCTCATATTGTTAATGATTTTCAGTCTACTTATTTTATCAATTATTGAAGGAGTGATATTGACTCTTTAACTATAATTGTGGATTTGTCTGTTTCTCCTTTCATTTCTATCAGTAGTTACCTTATGTAGTTTAAAGTTCTGTTGTTGGTGCCTGTATGTTTAGCCCTATTAGGTTTCTGGTGAAATTAACCCTTATCTGTTTCTTTCTAATAGAGGAAAACTATTGTTTTGTGTATCTGTCCAATTTTTTAATTATTTAAGGTAAGAAAAATACCTGTTACTCTATCATGGCTGTAATGACAAATTCAGTTAAGGAATTCTTGAAGGAGATCTATTATGAATAATGGTGTATGTTGAATAACATACTGCCAATTATATTAAGAATTTAAGGCTCAGC